CCTTAAATTATACCAACAAAGAAAAAGATTTATCCTGTATATTCTATGATGTCTATCAGATACTTAATGACAAGCATTTAGTTACGTAATGGAGTTCTAAATTATAAGCTCAATGCTATTAAGAAGAATCCCAGGGACCCTAATTTTTGTTTGTTTCTCAATTATCTGAGTGACTGCAAAGAAATATGTCTTGAATGGTAAGATATAAGAGTGAGAGTTGTGACAAAAATAAAACCACCTGGATTTGAATGTTAGTTTTGTCACTTCACAACTGTGAGACATTGAGCTACTTATTTAATCTTACTTTTATTAATTGGTAAATTGTGAATAATAATTGCCCCCTTTATCAGATTCTTGTGAGGAGTGAGATAATACATGTAAATACTTAGCACCTGATTTTATTCATTTAATGGCTACTAGCTTTCTTTTGCAATTATACAATTATAGCAATAAAATATATATTTATCTCACTTAAATAAAATAGAAAATCATTAACAAGTAGAATTTTCTCATGAACACAGTAAATAAATATTTAACAGTCAAAAATAAATCAATGCAATTCACTATAATATCATTCTAAAAAAGAACATAATCATATCAATGGATGAAGAAACAATGATTTAATATAATTAAACATTTAGTCATAACAAAATACTTTAGCAAATTAAAAACAGAATATCACTTCTGAACTTGATAAAGGGAATATACAAAAACCTATAGCTAATATAATATTTAATGATAAAATGGATGAATGCTTTCTTTCAATACAGTAAACAAGCTAAAGATATGTGTTCCCTCACCACTTCTATTCTACATGGTACTGATGGTTCTACCAGTGCAATAAGCAAAAAGGGAAAAAGAAACTAAGGAAAAAGTGAATAAAGTTTGGAAAGGAGAAAAATAACACATTAATTTCAAAATTTAAATATAACAAATACCATTTGTAATAGTATCAAAACATGAAACACATAGTGGTAAGTCTAATGAAATATGCATAAGAACTATATACAGCAAAATATTGTAAGCAATAAAATAATGATGAGAGAAATTTAAAAGCTATACAAATGAAGAAATATACTGTGCTCATGGTCTGGAAGACTCATTACTGTCAAGACATCTACTGTCTCCCAACTGATCTACAAATACAGAGCAATAATGATCAACTCCCAGCAGTCCTTTTGTCGAAATTTATAATCTGAAACTAAATAGTAAATGTAAAGAACTGAAAATAGCCAGAATCTTGGAAAACATATTGTAACAGACACTATCTGATTTCAGATGTATTATGAAGCTACAGTAATCAAGACAGTAATGAAGAATAGCATAAAAAGTTTAGAAATTGATCCAAACCTATATGGTCAAGTAAATTTTACAAAAAATTAAATCTATTAAAAAAGGATAGTTTTGTTGTTTTTTTAAAAAATGGTAGGAGATCAATTAGACATCAATTTGCAGAGGAAAAAGGAAGAAAAAGAAAAAAAAAGGGAAGAGAGAGCTATTCTATTTACCAAAGATAAATAAAAACATAAGTCCACACAAAGAGGGTCTTTGTGCATTATTACTTTAAATTAGAAACAGACCTAAGGGCCATCAACTGATGCTACATCTATAGAATGGACAACTACTTAATAATAAAAGGAAAAAACTGATAAAAGTAACCACCTGGTTGGATCTCAAAACAGTGCAATGAGACAGAAGCCAGATTCACAAAGGCTTCCAGTGTATGATTCCACACATGATTATTCCATTCTGGACAGGGAAAAAACATGGCATAAATCACACCAATGCCTTCACCGTGGTTGTCAGAGACAAGAAGAGGGGCTGGAGCTGTCTGTAAGGGGTACAATGGAAGTTATCAAACTGGATAAAATATTCCGTGTTGGTTGTGGTCGTTATAAGACAGTAGGTGTTTGTCAAAACTCACCAAACTGTCCACCTAAAAACAGTGATAATGTTCTCTAAGACTCCTATGGTACAATAAACCTGACTAAAAAAGTTAGTTTCCAACTTACTATTTAATCATTTTTAGTTGAAAATTTGTATTTATTATTCTTTCTGCTTCTTCCTTAAATAAACTTTTTTAAGATTTTAATTTATAATCTCTTGCTCAGTAAATTCAATCTCCTTTCTTAGACCTGTTTTGTTTATGGTTTAATAATATTAATCTCTCCTTCCCCTGCTATGATAACTCACTATGCTGATTTTCTTTCTGTCTCTCTTAATTCACATTTCTGGTAGCTCAATTAAAAATTATTTTTAAGTATGTTCATATTTTATGTTGTTAAGTTTCATAAGTAAATAAATATTATGTATTCGATAGATATCAATAGAGCAGATTTTAAGGCTTGAGATTAGGAACTTTGCAAATCAAGTTTTTAAACAATATTTAACACAATGTAACAGATTTTTCTTCACATGCAGAGATACTTTAACTGCTTTGAAGTTTGAAAGATTGGATCTGCCAGAAGATACACACAGAAAAGTATATGTACATGTACATATATGCACATGTGAGTATGTGTGTAATCTAAGTGACTAAGATAAAATGTTAGATGAAACTGGACAGGGGACTTAAGTTGATAGGTATTAATTCTTTCCTACAAAATTGTGTTCAGTTTGACTCTCCAACTTCCTAACAGTTTGCTCATTGAAAAAGCATTTAATAGCTTTATGTCTTACTTTCCTTATCTATAAAATCCTATCTAATAAAGAGGGAATATGCTAATTGACCCTCACACCATTGCAAAGATGGTGGTGCCCACAGCCAATTTTCATGCACCGGGCCTCTAGCATGTAACATAATAATGCCAACCTCAAAGACTGGTGCAGAGGTGAACTGAGAATTCAAATGGAAAATTGTGATATAGTATTTCATGACTGCATATGCATTCTCTATGCAAATAGATTCTCCATGCATCTGACGCTCCATGTGGTTTACTTCACATTGTTTTACTTGTGAATTGAGGTGTAGAAAATCTGCAATTCTACCCCCTTGTGGGATAAGAATTATAGACAATAATTACAGAAAAACAACACGTTTTAAATCATAAAAAAGAAATTAGGCTCTTTTATTCAGTGTCCTATTTGCTCAGGGTATAGGTTCTTTATCACTGTTGACAATATTACAGATGTCCCTCAATCTCCCCACCCCCCTGACCCTCACCCAGCCTTTCTCCTCCAAGCCTCTGCCCTACTCCAGGCCTTCACACTCTATTGTCTGTGTTTATTGGTTATGCATATATGCACATTATTTCTTTGGTTAATCTCTTCCCATTTCCCCGCATCCCTGTCCTGAGATATGTCAGTCTGTTCCATGCATCCATGCCAGGGGATCTGTTTTGTTTGTCACTTTAATATGTCCATTAGATTCCACATATAAGTGAGATTATGTGATAGTTGTCATTCAGCATAATATTCTCCAGGTCCATCCATGCTGTCACAAAAGGTAATAGTTTTGCTTTAAACATTGTACAATGAATATTAGTTTTATCTTCTCATTAATTTCACTCTAGTACAGGGTTGGATTAGAGATGAAGTTATCCAGATGAAGGGAGGGTCACAGACACAGACACACACAAACACACACTCACAAACATACCACATACACTGGAAGGAAGAAGAAGAATTTATTAGTGGGCTATGTTCTTTTGGAAGCATCTGAAAATAAGAAAAGACGGGCAATGTAAATAGGCAATTTTTATGTTGGCAAAGTCTTTAAAGTAATACAGAGACAGGAGCCACTTCATGATGCAATGTTTGATTCCACATAACTGCATGTGATCATATTTTATTTTCCTTTGAGACTGGAAGTTTCTGCCTCTGGAGATTTAACTTCACAATTAAACACTATACCTTAGTCCCTGTGGTCACCCAATTCTCTTCCAGGAAAACAAAATAAAAGTGGAGCAACATGTATTTTCTCAGAAGCTGTCTCAAATTTTTACAAATAGGTCATTCAAATGTTCACTGTTTCATCTCTTCTAAAAGTGAGGGTATATTGACAATATTGCAGATGTCCCTCATTAAAAACATTTTCTTTTTAGCTACAACTGAGAAGTGCTGATAAAAAAGAGAAAGAAAACCATAGACTGCACAGGTAAGACAATGGGAAGACAGCTGTAAGGTTTGGGTGCTGTTATTCACCAAAATAGACAGGTAGCAAGCGCTACAACAAGACATTATGTTGAAATGTACATTGTAAGTAGAACAATAGTTTGATAGCACATCACAAAGTCAGTCTTCAGAATTGAAGGATGTCAAAGATTGGTTATTTTAAATAATGACTATTTTGCTGCTTGGGTTACATGAGAGTTACTTTTTGGAGGCAATGAATGAATTTAGGAGTTGAAGAATAAACAGAATGGTCTTGAGCGGGAAAATTTTTTTCGAGTTAAAACTACATACTTGTTTAGAAATTGGAAGACCCTTCAGCAAGGATATCTGTATCCTTCACATTTTGGATGTGGGGTGGTAGAAAAAAAATAAAACATCATTTGTTTGTTGCATTTGCAGAAACTTAAGTGAAGTATGTGGACTTGAACAGTAATTTAAATTCAGGTTCAATGCAGACAATTGCTTAATAAATTCAAATGCTTGTCCATTTTCCCACTAATTTTCATCTAACTTCAATTACTCTATTTACTATGCTATGCTATCCTAGGTTTTTTCCCATGAGTGAATGTCCTCATTAACAGTCCTACTATGCTTGTAAACTTTTTAAAAATCAGACATATAACCTGGCCGGCATGGCTCAGTAATTGAGCATCAACCTATGAACCAGGAAATAACAATTTGTTTCCCAGTCAGGGCACATACCCAGGTTATAGGCACAATCCACAGTAGGGTGCGTGCAGAAAGCAGGCGATCAATGATTCTCTCTCATCATTGATGTTTCTATCTCTCTAGCCCTCTCCCTTCTTCTCTGAAACCAATAAAAATATATTATTTCAAAAAGAGACATTCAACCTAATATAAGCTTAAGCAAACTATATGTGTAATACATGACCAGAACTAATTATACTTTGGTGACTGAGTTCATCCTGCTGGGATTAGCAGACACGCTGGAGCTACAGATTATCCTCTTTGTGCTCTTTTTTGTCATTTACACACTGACAGTTTGTGGGAATGTGGGGATGATCCTCTTAATCAGGACTGATTCCAGACTCCACACACCCATGTATTTCTTCCTGGCTAACCTGTCCTTTGTGGATGTTTGTTATTCATCCACCATCACCCCAAAGATGCTGGTGGATTTATTGTCAGAGAAGAAAACCATCTCCTTTGCTGGCTGCTTTCTGCAGCTGTACTTCTTTATCGCCTTGGCCACAACTGAATGCATCCTCTTCGGCTTAATGGCCTACGACCGGTATGTGGCCATATGCAACCCTCTCCTGTACCCCTTGGTCATGACCAGGACAGTCTGCCTGAAAATGGCAGCAGGGGCTTTTGCAGCGGGACTCTTGAACTCCATGGTGCACACAAGTTATATAAGCAGACTGCCATTCTGCAGTTCCAATGTCATCCACCACTTCTTCTGTGACAGCCCTCCGCTCTTTAAGCTCTCCTGTTCTGACACACCCCTGAATGAAAGCATCATTTCTACTTTTGCTGGAGTGAATATGGTCGGGACTCTGCTGGTCATCCTCACCTCTTACTGCTACATTCTCTTCTCCATCTTTCGTATGCATTCAGGGGAGGGCAGGCACAAAGCTTTCTCAACGTGTGCCTCTCACCTGACAGCCATAATTCTGTTCTATTCCACCGCCATCTATACTTATCTGAGACCGACATCCAGCTACTCCCTGGGTCAGGACAAAGTGGCTTCCGTGTTCTACACGGTGGTGATCCCCATGTTGAACCCTCTGATCTACAGCCTCAGGAATAAGGAAGTGAAGAAGGCTTTATGGAATGTATTTACCAGGAAAGGATCCCTGCATTTCTGTGATTGTTTGTTTAATTTTCTGGACCTAGCAGAGTATTTAAGGAACTTGCAAAGCCTATTCAAGCCTACAGTTTTTCATAAGAATATTTCTAAGTAATCATGTTCTGTAATATTGAAACATATGTATTGTATAAGAAAAGATACCTTAAATTTCCCTAAGCATAATGTAAATTACCAAATTTAAGTAAGAACATGGACCCTCATCTTAACCATTCTGTAATCTGCCTGGATGCTCAAAAGTAAGGCCTTTTTGTAATAAAATCTTGCCTATTGAAAGAAAGGTATAGACTACTTAGTAACAAAAGTCATAATATCACATGAAACTAGGCATAGAATATATTTGTATTTATTCATAAACTATTTCCCTGTGCATTATTATTATTCATCATTTATGATTTGCAAATATTGTTATATATCACATATCAAAATGCTTTAAATTTAAAATCTTTCCATTTAGTGTATTAAATTATCCCCTCATAAGATCCTTAAATAAAATTTCAGAAGTACTGTTTAAATTGCAACTGTAAACTCACCAGATTTTATTTCTCTTATTCTACCATTTACGTATCTATTCCTTAAAGTATAAAAATGAGTTTGTGCAAAAGCATGCTATCAAGAGACGCTGTCTGATTAAAATGCACAAATTATAGCTTTTCTGTATCCTTCCCTTCTTAAAAATGCCCAACCCTTCTCTTCCCTTCTCTCTCATGGGACTGACACAGACACACAAAGCCACATACTCACAGATTGAGCTACAGCAAAGCATAAAGTGGATGGTTCCAAAGAGAAGGCTCAATGTTCAATGGATGAATGCAATATATGTTCTTCACAAAAGGCTTCTAGAGTTCCTGCTCACAGAAAATCCTATCAGCTTCCAATAAAATAAATTTAAATTTAATATTAAAGTCAAGCAGATTAAAAGATACCAAATAAATAAGTAATATGGATAGTTTATGTAATATAGAGCGTGACGACTATAGTTAATATGACTATATTGCATATTTAAAGGTTGCAAAGATAGTAGATCTTAAAACTCCTCATCACAAGGAAAAAATTTTGTAAATATTGTATGTATAGTGATGAGTAATAAGCTAGACTTACTGTGGTGATCATTTCACAATATAAACAAATATTGATTTATTATATTTTACAATTGACACTAATATAATGTTATATGTAAATTATTTCTCAAGAATAAAAAGTTAAACATTATTAACATAAAGGTAGCAGGGCTTAGTACAATTCTGGAGGAAAGTGAGTGGGGATCAAGGCTTGCTAAAAAGAGACAGCCACACTTATGGTTTTTGAAGGAAAATTCCTCAAGACCCATCTCTTGCCCTTGTCTTTGAAGTGGCACCTGAGTGGGAGGTGATGGCCGATGTGGCATAGCAGGTTTTATGACCTGTCACTAACAGGTCACCCTGCTCATACATACAATGCACTCAGTGGTCCACGTAGGTGACCTTGGCCAGATGGATGTTCATGAAGGAATCAGTGTTGTCTGTGCATCCACGGGCCATGTTCTCACCCCACATTGGTTACCTGGCCCTGGAGGTAGAATGATCAAGCTGGTCTCAAAGATGGTTCACTCTTTCACTGAGTAGCTCACCTATGTTATTCTGTACCACCTTGCCTGCTTTTTGGCTGGATTCTTTCCACTTTTTTTGTCCCAGGAATTTAGTGAAATCACATATGGAACGAAGACATTTCACCAGTAAATACTAATATTATATTCCTTCCATTGAATGTTTTCATTTTCAATGAAACAACATTTGGACAATGCAATCCAGTTATTCTGAGACTTGGATTTTCAGATATGTCATATTTAAGACATACCATGTTCTCTGTCTGCTCTCCAATACAGCCTTCTTACATGTAATTAATCTCATTTACAAAACTTGCAAACATTTCCTACTTTGGGGACTATTATAACTTAATGATGATGGCATTTTATTTTAATTACTTGAATATGTGCTTCTTATGTAAATTCTGAGTATTTCTTCATTCCATTTATTTAATTATGTAAAGTTAGATTATTTCTTGTAATATTTTTAAAATTATATTTTTTTGCTTATTGTTCAATGCATTTATATGGAAAACATTCCAAATATTTTATTTAATTTAAAAAAGAAACTTACATTATAAAAATATTGAGACTTCTAGTTATTATATTGAAAGTAATTTTATCTTCTTTTTTTTTTTCTTTAGAATCTGAGACTACTTATTAAACACTTCCTTATGAATGTACATTATTTTGCCCCTTGATATGGTATCTTTATTGCTTTCTGGTTTTTAAATTTTACAGTTTTCTATTTCATTTTAATGAATATTTCCTAAATATGTAGATATCAATCAATGCTTTGTTTTATTCAATGTGTTCTGAATAATTTATGTATTAAAATGAATTAAAGAAGTGTGAAATACATGCCTTTAAGGTTTTTTTGGTCAATTTTTTCATTAGTGATTAAGTAAGACCAAATAACTTCAGAACCTGTCAATGCTACAAAGTTGGAAAAGTTAGTCAACAAGATGAAAGGACTCAAAGAAACAATATTCTACAATTGCATACATCCAAATAAATAAGCAATAAAACATGTCATGAATAGATGGATTCCTCCATTAAATATTTGCATATACTGGTACTGCCCAGGAAAGGGTTAACTCAATCAGCCTGGGCTGCCTAAACTGTGCATATTCCAGGGTCTTCAGGATGGACCTTGACTGGCTCCTGAGAGAACCTCTGAAACCTTGGGATATCCTACCTGATAAGAGCATCTTTGTGTCCTGGTGCCCACAGGTAACAGTTTATGCTAATGATGTGATTCATGGTGAATGCCTGTTTTATATTCCTGGGCTTTGGCCAGTGGTCGGCAAACAAGGGGCCAAAGAGCCGCATGTGGCTCACAAGCCGCAGTTTGCCAACCACTGGACTAGACCATATCAGTTTAAACTCAGGGTGGCAGGGAGAGTTATGCAAGCCCTCCATGTCCATGTACTGACCCTCAATAAAACCCTGGACACCAAATCTTGATTAAGCATTTCTGGTTGGTGGTACTTCATCCAAGTTATCAGACAGCACTCCTGGGAGCATTAAGTTCTGTCTGTGTGATTGTACTGAGACTGGTTTCTAACTGACAGTGCCCTACACATCTTTTTCCTTTGCTAATTTTAATCTATTTTTTAGCTGCAATAAACCATAACCATACATATAAAGGCCCTTCTGGCAGCAAGCAATCAATTTAATGTATCCTATTCAGGTTTGGGGAAATGCCATCAGCCTTTCCCAGATTCAGCCCTGCTGTCATGCTGGAATTGGCTTCCAGGTTTTTTCTATCACACCAACACACATCACCCCCAACCCAGCCACGGGTCCCACAGAGCTGCACAACCTCAGCCTTGGCTGGGAGCTGCACTCTGGACTGAGTCATGCCCGAAGTCTCCAGGTTGCTGGCCCCTCCCAGCCCATGATGTCAGATCCTGTGGGCTCAGGCTGCTGAAGCTGCACTGAGCACAAGGAAGCAGGCTCCTGCCTAGGGGTTTGAGCCAGGACTGGCAATGCCAGAGATGGTGGAAGGCTGAGATAAGAAAATGAGCCAGGACAGGAGAGAGAGAGGCAAATGAGTGATAAAACCCCCAGCTTAGGGAGGCAAGGTTTTACCTCACCATAAGCCAGTCCGGGTGTTCTCCCTTCCCATTGCAGGCCAGACATGGACTGAACAGCAGGTTGGAAGGAGACCAGCAGTAAAGTAATGCTTTCCAAGCTTCAATCCTCCTGGTCTTCTTGTCCCATCTGGGTTGCCATATGTTACAGGATAGGAGAGGGGCTCATCTTCCTTGGTTGCTTGTAGAAGTGGGTTCTTGGTACTGCTAAAATAAGCATTTCTGAAGGCCTCCACGGGAGGATGAAGTTTAGTGGAAAGCTTTTTTTCCGTGGAATTTTACTACTGGGTTTCCAAAGCATTTCCCTTAGTCCAGTCATAAAAGAAGTATAGCCGGGGCTTCAGTAGAGCTAAACTCAGAGTCAGTGTCCAGAGTTTCCTTTCCATGTTGGAGCTGGGTACAGTCCAGCATCAAGACAGCTTAATTTCTGTTTCCCCGCTTAGTCCATTAGTCCATTGCGTGGGGTCCAGAGGGCCACATGGCTATGGAGGAAAAACAGGCAGGAGCAAAATGAGAGTCCCAGGAGCCAAGAGAAACCAAGAGCAGAGAACAAGAGAGCAGATTTCTTTCTTTCTTTCTTTTTTTTAAAAATTGATTTCAGAAAGGAAAGGAGAGGGGGAGAAATGGAAACATCAATGATGAGAGAGAATCATTGATTGGCTACCTCCTGCACAGTCCCTACTGGGGATTGAGCCCGAAATCTGGACTGGGAATCAAACTGTGACCTCTTGGTTCATAAGTCAACACTCAACTGTTGAGCCACACCAGCCGGGCAAGAGAGAGCACATTTCTTTGTTTAGGTGATTATTATTCCCAATCTTCTCCGCTTGCAATGGCCATGCCCATTCTGGCCAACGATCTCTGTTCCCAGGTGTAATTAACAGGCAAGTATCTTTCCTATGTCACTTAACTTTATTGAGGATGTGTCTGTCTTTTCTTTCCCCTTCCCCCAGCGTTTTGCGAAGGATAGGCTGGTGATTCCCTGGGGAGTGAAAAGTTGCCCATTCCTGGTGAAGTTACCCAAATGACATGCTTATAATGTCTGTCTCTCTCTTTTTTTTTTTTTTTTGCTCCTATTCTATTATCAATGACTGGTTAATTACAATGGTATCAGTTTATGCTCTAAAAATTTTGTTAGCTAATTAAAAAGAAGAAAAATATAAACAAGTAACTGAAAATGACAATTCTATTATTAACATGTCCTATTAATACAATTGAGTGGGTTTGTATAATCCAGCATTTCATTCTACCTTTCATGTTGTAGTCTTTTAAAAATATTTAAATTACATAGTATACAATATTCTTGCCTAATATTTCCAAGATATGTGGAAATGATAATCAACAAAAGAATGAGTATCTTTGTCAGGTAAATCAAGATTAACTAAGATATTTGGCACCTTTACAATTATAGTTTCTAACTCCATTTTACATAGAGTT